AGAGAATAAAAAAATATACTAGCAGTAACACAATCATTTAATCTTCTCCATAACCATTTTTTTTTTATCAAATACCTCAAAATAACTCAACATGTCAATGTGTCATTTTTGTTAAGTTTCACTATTATATACTGTCAGCAAAACGAATTATGTGAAACGATATCTCTAAAGGAATTTATTTGTCCACCTCCCTTATTCACAATTCATTAACACGCAATCAGTATTCAGTATGCTTCAATTCAACCATACACTTGTCCATTTATACAATATTAATTGTGCATTACAGCAATGGTACGATGAGTTGCTGGCGTGGAATAAATCTAAATATGGTGGAGTTGAGGACATAACAGTATCTCAGAGTGAAGTTTGGCTTCCAGATCTACTCGTAGAAAATACGTGAGTTGATTCTCCATATAGATACTCCCATAAACGTTTTAAACTTTTACCCTTTTGCTAATAATCCCGTCTTTCACATCGTAGAAGGAATCACATCAGTAAATGCACACAGTATCTACCGTAACCCTTTTAGATCATATAGGTATATTAGATTGAAGGTGGTCATTAAAACGTCATGATACTCGATCGCAATAAAATTATGAACCCATGCACTTGAGACTTCCTCTTTATTGATCAGACAAAAATCAAACCCATTGCTTTTGTAATTTTATAGTTGTCTATTAGTTCAGGCAACTGACATGATAGAATTAGTCCCTCTATAATTCATTCACTTACTTGTAACTTCTTGACCTTTAGAAGAAATCCAATGCCAATCCAGCATCATTCACTCTAAAGTGCTTACTTGTTTATGAATTAAAAAAAGGCCACAACCTCAAATTCTCAATGATCTTGCTGTCTTACGTGGTTTATTCAATCAAACATATAGTTATAGTATTTATTTTTGTACTACTGAAAGGAATACTACCTCTGAGGATGGACATAAAGTCTCAAACTTGGTCAATAAATAAAGGCCTATATAATTATCAGTTGGACTAACCAGGTGTCATGACTGAAGTATAGAATCTAAAAAATAGGACGATATCCATTACACTAAGCATGTTTCAAAATTACTTAATGAATTATTTCTTAGTTTGATGGATTTATTGGGTTGTAGAGGGATTCTGTTATGACACTATGTAAGTCTACTGATGAACCAAAGACTCATTTTAGCAATATTTTGTATAACTTTAATATACCTTTACTAATAACATATGCTAATGATTTCAGTGCCTTGAACTTCGCACCAATAGGAAATTCGGCAATGTTAATAAGTATAGATCATAATGGAAGGATTTATTGGGAACCTGGTATCATGACAAAAACGATTTGTGAAGTGAATATTGGAAAATACCCCTTTGATTATCAGTCTTGTGAAATTAAATTTCTAACATGGATGCATACAAATAAAACATTAGCTATTTTTCCGGGAGCAGACGAAGTCAGTTTAGATGCCTGTATTCCAAATGGTGAATGGGATATTATATCAGCTAAATCAGGAGCTTATTCATACCCTAGTACTTACAGACCAGGTTTTGCCCATACTGGTGTAACATTTAAAATTGAATTAATGAGAAAAAGAACATTTTATGTATTAAACACCATAGTTCCAGTAGTGCTACTTTCGTTTCTTAACGTGCTAGTGTTTCTACTTCCGGCGAGTAGTGGGGAGAAGATGGCTCTAGCTGTAACTGTGTTACTATCATTTACCGTGTACTTAAGTATTGTTAGTGAAGTAATGCCTAAAACATCAGAGAGTATATCAATATTAGGTGAGAATATTATTTTCTACCTTTGACAGAATTCATCTACTTAAACTCTTTAAGTATACGACTATCTTTCCAGGTTAACGAGGCGCATCACATCGTTCTCGTTCATCTGAGAGGTCACGAAAAGGTTTTCTGATTTGTTTTTAACCCGATTTTCCTTGGCAGTGATGCAGGTCGAATAGGTTGATATTGGAGACAAGAGTCAGATGGCACGATATAGAAATTCCGGTGGTACAAGATGTGCTCGATAGAGATCCCCTAACAGTTTGAAATTGGGAAAGATTAATCGTCCGCTGTCCCGGCAACATTTTCCTCGTTTCTCTGTGGAGGTTACCTGTTTTCGAAAGGCTTGCCGGATACCATCTTCACTAAGTCAAGCTATTACCACCTTTGTCTAATACCTTGACTCCAATAGCCACCTTTCTTGTATCATGGAAATTTGTAAATGCAGCGATTTGATAGGATCATTGGCTAGCAAATACAGCCTCGACTAATGTTTAGAGTTTTTCTGTAGAGGGCCCTGATTGGCCGTATTCGCTGACTGAGAATCCAATCAAATTGCTAGATTCTGTGATACAAGATAGTTGAGTATTGCAGTAAAGGTTTAAGCTCTTTTCATATCATTTCGTTTCCTAAACAGTTGCAAAGAAAACATTATCATGGACATAATACCTAAAGATCGAATCTCGAATTTTGTATATTTTCAAGTAATGATTTTATGTCTTCTAACCGTGTTTCCCTTTTTTCAGCTGTGTATCTAACATTGTTATTAACATTAAGTACAATGTCAGTGTTATCCTCTGGGGTGGTTATGAACATGATACATCAAGACCCCACAAAACCTATCCCTCCAACATTAAAATGTGTGTTATGTTGTCGTCAAAAGTATAAAAACCGAAAGAAAAATGTGAAAAAACACAGTGTTGAAAGGAATGGAGATTGTAAAAAGAGACTTGCTGAGGTTGAAGTTCGACAATACTCAGAAAATTCAACAAAATTAGAAATTAAAACCAATATAGATAATACAAGAACTGAATTAACGCCCTTGTTTGAGGATCCTGAACCATTAGATGACGGTATTACATGGGTTGAAATAGGTAGTGCTGTTGACAACTTATTATTTTGGGTGTTTTTAATTATTACAATTAGTGCAACGAGTACGGTTCTTGCTATGTTTTCGTGGTGAAACGGTAACTTAACAAAAATAGACATGAGGAAATGAATTCATGCCAAAACAGTCCAACAACTGAAATCGTCTCAACATACGGTTGATAACCGTACGTTCGTTTGGCGGGAAAGTGAAATATGCTCACTGAAACAGTTTTCAGTAATCTGTTAAAGTGAGCGTCTTCCAGTAAAATGACTATAGTTAAATATTTTCAATTATATGTATATACTCGCTGTTATATAACATTTTCATTCCCATTTAGTGAATATCATCTTTGTTCGGTAGTTATCTAGACATGTACTAAAATTATTAGTTGAAATACGACACCCTTGGTTATTACAATGGCGGCTAAAAGAACTGTTTGAATTGTAATTGCACCTTTTTGAAAACAAAATTACAGTGTAATATAATATAACATTCAAAGACCTGTTCTCCGTACTTACACCATCTATATGCTGCTTCTGGAAAAGAAAGGATCGATCGATGAAGATACAAATCTGGATAGTACTTTTTGTATCTGATATTATGCACATCAGAGGTTCACTGCCTTACACTCAAACATCAAAGCAAACAACTAAGACCATTTTAGTACCATTGAAATAAATAGCTTTGAAATTAGTGTTCATGCTTTTTCAATGACAAAGTTATGGATTATCAACCTGTAAGACTATTACCTCATTGTTACGGATTTTTTCATTTGAAAGTTTAGATTTAACGTAATGTTATACTATGTTAATAAACCGTCTTACTTTTATTGAAGAACTTTCACTTCAAAACAAAATTTTCTCTTTAAAAGAGTTCCGTCCCCTGTATAGCATATCCATACTTTATCGATTTCAGTCTTGTAGCGCTGATTCAGATCGCGACTCCTTACATAACAAATTTCAATTTTTTAGAAAAAATTCTAAATAACTAGGTGAAAACTTTCAAATGTCAAAATTAATACATTAAAATTATGAGTAAGGCAATAAAAAAAGTCCACCTCTTCAACGAACAATCATCTTTAATGGGGAGTTGTTCAATGGAGAGTTGTTGATAAATGTGACACATGATTGCTCAATTGTTCTACTTATTGCGCTAGTCAAGGCAGACAGAATATTCTTATTTGTAATCAGCGTGACAGCAGAAGAGAAAAATCTTCAAAAGTGCAAAAGGTGGTATTATTGTCGAGCTATGCACATTCGGGCCCGATTCATAACATAATTAAGTATGCTCATTACTTAAAAATAAAATTTACTTTTCATTGTTTATGTTTTGAATCGATTGTACAGAAATGTCGTCTTTCCTAGACTGTAAGAGAATAATCAATCAATGTTATTTTCAAAAACATTCTGTTGGGATTTAATACCCTCATCACCATTTCCTTTAATCCCCCCAACTAATATATAGTGTGACTTACTTACTTGCTAAGCCACCCAGGCTCCCCCAATTTGCGACAATCTGAAATATGAATTAAAAGACCCTAATGTTGAAATGATAATCACGTAGGTAAACTACTTGAAGAATGACAAGAAAAAGAGTCTATGGCGGATTCCTATAATTGATACTAGTAAATATCATTAAAGACAAGGAACTTGGTTGACATTTTAAAATCGCCATTGTTGTTATTATTTAATATTATTGGTTAGGATTCGATCAATGAAGGTCCACATTTATCTTATAAAGTTTGTATATAGGGTGAATCGACACCAGAGCTTCTTTCGAAAAAGAAGGTTAATGCTGCTCTCCTGGCAAAATTACCCTCACTGCACACTGTATGACGTTGTCCATTAGTCCAATTAGGTGCAGAAGCGTAGGACCTAAAACTTACATTTAATTTCTACCTTTTAGTTGTAAAAGTAATATGAGTTCTGTTAAATAAATATAATTTCGAAATGATTTTAACCATTCGCAATACGATGACAATACGTTATGGTATATTATTTTGTCTAGATGTTGAATAAAATAGGTGCTTCCAAAGGTCATGTCTATAATCTGAACTCATTATAGACAATCATTTCCGGTATGATAAAATGTGAGAGAAGATGAGAGCGGAAGAAGAGCGAGTAAAGGAGATGTAATAAGCATGAAGTGGAAATTTTTGTCTTTTGCCAACACACCATAATTATGAAAGGATATTAATATTGTAGTGGAGTTCTTCTCTAACATAATACGAGAAAATAATACAGAAATCTAAAGTTGTTATTGACGTTATAATATACTAAATTCGGTAAATCTTCCTTCAGCAATCAAAAAACTTTGTAACAGGATTTTTTATTTTAAGTAATGTAGGGTAATAAGATAGTGTATAATGCATATTATTTTTTTCGTCTCCAAATGGGCATAGTTTGGTATGACAGACTGTACATCAACTCTACATTCTTATTTTCCCCTGTCTTCAATTTCAATATTCATTGATTAGATAAAGATAAAGATAAGACATGGGTGTTTTAGAGTTGTAGAAGTTCTTTAGTTAAACTACAAGGCTTTTTGTCTATCTTGCAATCTAACTCTCCTCTTTGAAATTAAAGGACATAAGCCGTTTTGGCGGGTTGATATGTTAATGTCTTCAGAAGTACTAGAAATGTACGAAAATCACAAAAGAACAATGGTTCTTTGTAACCATATAACTCATATGAACTTTCATATATCACTGTCCCCTATTTTAAATTTCAAGATAGAAATATCTCTGGCTCATTTTCTAGTCAAGTTGACATTTCAAACTATCTGGAATCAATGTTAATGGTATTGTTAATCTATCAAAGTAATGAATGAAATGTTTAATACTATTGAAATATTGATAACAATAGAATTACCTTGCCTTTAAACTTATCTTAGCATAATAGTATTTTCTAGGGTTTGGGGTGAGTTTCATGTTTTTAGGGAAAATTTGGAGCATGGAAAATGGAGGTTTTCTGGTCTAACATGATACCATATATTAGTACTATTTTCTTTGGATTTCCCTGTGACGTGCAAGTAGTTCCCGAGTTTCCAGTTTGAAGAACCGCAGGGGTTAGACGATAGATCGGAATGGTACAAATAGATGTAAAAGTAAGTAGTACACGTATGATTCACGTCAACATTTCTCTTCAAGCCCTTTGATTTTTTATACGGAATCACGAGTGGTTCTTCGCTAACTTGACGATATCAGGTTCGATTACTGTGTTTTGAGAGTCCATTGCATGAGTTTGTCCATCCATATGCAGGAAACCCTTGAATTCAAATTAACTCATGAGAGGCAAGTGCCACACTGAACTATATGCAATTACCCGACTTTATTACTCCATTGAGGAGTATAAAATTAAAATGAAATACGCATTCATCCATACATAACATTATACTTATTGTACGATACAAAGCTTTGCCTCCTAATGAGCCAATTACTAAATCTTTTAAGAAAAAGTTTTAATTTTTTCTCTTTACGATACATGGAGGAAATTGAGCATGCTTTATGTTGAGATAAAAGAGAAGATAATATGTTCATTATAAAATTCCCCATCAATGATGTTACCGATAATTAATGTCACGATTTGCTTCCGGTGACCTTTTCTTTAATGTCCTAGCATATACTACTTCATAATATTCATACATTGTCATTGCAAAGATTCTAGCTACGATAGGTTAATACTCTATAATATGTGGGGGATGTCACCAGTAAGGCAGGGCATGTTCACTCCTGAAAACCTGATACCACATTCGATGAGTCTAATAGATAATAATATGTATACCAGGTATTTGATACTGATTTCAGTTTTTTGGAGTAGTGTGTTGTTATTGGAGCTCCCATGTAGATATTACGTGCTGTATTATTGAAATAGTTGACTTCGATGTATAGACGAAACTTGATGTTCTTGGAAACGTTTGAATTATAACCGTTGGTCA